TTGTCTTTTATATAGTTGTATCTTTGTATGTCTTGATATTTGTTTCGATTTTATAAGGTTTTGAAGGGCATAAAGACATCTGTTGCTGGCTTGTATCCTATTGATTATTTCTTGTGATCTGTTATTGTCTTCAGTTATTGTTGTTGCAAGGTACTTAAATTCTCTGACGTACTCAAAGTTAAAGTCATAGATGGTGATGTTCTATCCGATTCTATCTGTTCCGGTTAATGCGGTTCGTATACATATATTTAGTTTTGTTTTCATTGGTTAGGAGCCCCATCTTCTCTGTTTCCTTCTCGAACCTGGCGAAAGTCTCCTTCATCCTTAATCGGGTGTTTCCTATTAGATCGAGATCATCTGCAAATGCCAACAGTAAGTTTGGTCCTTTTCGATGGAATATTGTAGCTGCCGTTTATCGCCCGTTAGCGAAAATAATTGGGACGTTCAAACTCGACAAAGCAGCAATCTCGTTTTGCGGTATTTGTTCCTGCTCGTTTACCTGTTCTAACGTTACCACAGTTTCAACCTCGCCATAATGTTGCCTTTCTACTTTTCCCAATTTGCCCCACAAATACTCTATGAGGTTAAGATCTGGGCTTCTAGGAGGCCACGCTAGTACCCGGATACCAATTGGACCGAGTATTATCTTGTATTAGGAGAAAATTGTCACTGAGAAATGCATATAAGAGACCAGATGTTCTTCCAGATATTCCATAATATACCTATAAGCGTTAAGGCCACCTGCCTTTAACATAACAAAGTAAATTAATTACTATTTATAACTGGGAATAAGCCACAATTAAAGATAAAAATACGTTTATTGACGTTTCAATTTCCAATTCGGAAATCGTTCTCAAAATACAAACAGTAAATTAAACAAATTTTGTTTTTTGTTACATAGTGAAAAAATTCTTCTAATAATTTAATTTTATCCGACTCATTTATATTGACAATTCAGACATACATTATGCATTTAAAGTAGACGACTTTAAAATGATATTGCCAATATTGTTGAGTTGAGCTCCTGGGACGACTTTACTTATAAGATAGTTCATTCGATTACATGAAATCAACTTTAACTTGAGAATATCCGTCAGAAAAAATCATAGCATGTAATTCGTCTTTAAAGAGACAAACACATGACATGATGACAGTAAAATTCTCCTGTTAGTGATTCCATAGTAAATTATGAGGGAAAAACCAGGAAAAAAACCTCATAATACTATCCCGACATTGTAAGTATTTGTTCGTGAATTTAGTTTACCTTCAACAAACATCAAAAATTCTGATTTTATATGTTACGTTATTTAAAAAATAAAAATGAACAAATACTTACAATGTCGGGATAGTATTATGAGGTTTTTTTCCTGGTTTTTCCCTCATAATTTACTATGGAATCACTAACAGGAGAATTTTACTGTCATCATGTCATGTGTTTGTCTTTTTAAAGACGAATTACATGCTATGATTTTTTCTGACGGATATTCTCAAGTTAAAGTGATTTCATGTAATCGAATGAACTATCTTATAAGTAAAGTCGTCCCAGGAGCGCAACTCAACAATATTGGCAATATCATTTTAAAGTCGTCTACTTTAAAATGCATAATGTATGTCTGAATTGTCAATATAAATGAGTTAGATAAAATTAAATTATTAGAAAAATTTTTTCACTATGTAACAAAAAACAAAATTTGTTTAATTTACTGTTTGTATTTTGAGAACGATTTCCGAATTGGAAATTGAAACGTCAATAAACGTATTTTTATCATTAATTGTGGCTTATTCCCAGTTATAAATAGTAATTAATTTACAATGCCACAAGAAAATAGCTTCAGAACAATAATAACAAAGTAAGTTCTTCCCAAAAATGTCGCCCCATAATATTATACCTCCACTACCAAACTGTATTCTAGGAGAGATTCAACATTGGGCATAGCGTTCTCGAAGGTCTTCTCCACACTGTTTGGCGACCATCAGGTGAATATCTCGTAAAACGAGACTCGTCTAAACAGAATCCTTCCATATCCCAATCTGCATAAGTACATGAGAATTCCAAGCGTTGTCTTTGATCAGCTGCGTCCTGTAGCAGGTATATAAGATGAGAATTTTGTTCTCATAATCTTCTGCCGTATCTGATAAAACTATAATACCAAGAACTAGCTAGTCTCCTAGTCAAACTGTAGTAGTAACTGTCCGCTTTCGAAGCATTGGTAATCTAAGAAAAGGATCTTCCAAAGTATTTGTTGCTCTTGCCTTGGTCTTTCCTGTCCAGGTGTTCTTGAGTAAGGACCAGTTTCTTGAAATCTTGAAAATTCTTCCATCATTAAGCAGAGTAACAGGTTGCACTCTGACCTCATTGTGAATTGTTCTTTGCTATTAAAAACACTTTACCGAAAAAGCAGCCAACAATACGAAACAAAAAGAAATACAAATCCAACTTATATTTTGACAATGTATTTAATTATTGTATAGGCCAATTCAAAAACTAAAAGAAGAAAATGAAATTTCACGTGTCCGGTTAATTTTGTAGGACAATGTAGATTCAGATTAGATTTTTGCGGTGTTTTGTATTATATCAGACTTTTTGACTGCTTTGTATCAAAATTATTATATTACTCGATTAAATTGTTTCTACGTTTGTACAGATGTATGCTCAGTGAAGGCTTCTCTAAGTTTCAAGACACCATAACCCCCCTAAAATTACCCAAAGTGGATCTCAATATATATACGAAAAAAATCGAAGAAAGAAAACTAGTTGAGCTACCTGATATCCGAGCATACGTCACGCGAGAGTTTCATTCAGATGAAGATGAAAAAAAGGAAAAATTGAGAAAAAAGAAAGATAAAGACAGAAGAAGCAAAGAAAAAAAGTATTTATAGTTCGTTGTAGTGTGTCTACCTAAAATAATGTAGATATAAACAGTGACGGTACTTTAGGGAGAGCAATTCATTCATCCGTAACGGATAAAATGTTGAATATATCTTTAAAATATTTCTATTATCAGATACGATTGTAAAAAGTAGATGATTGGAGTGAGTCATTATATTCTGTTGTCCTTTTACGACCATTTTCCACCGTTTTCTTTACTTAATGAATTTATACTTATACTGATGATCCTGACTGTCCAGAAAATTGGTTCTAGTTCATTATTATACGAGAGCCATCTGCTACGTACTTGTCCACAAAAGAAAAACAAAACTTTTGCAAAAGTGGCGATTTATTTCGTAACTAAGTCTCGTTTTAACTCGATACACTAGAATGTTTGAGAAATACGTTTTCTCGGGTCTGCAAAGCAGGCCTTCGTAACGGTGATGACCTCATTCGACTCAAATTTGTACCCGGAGAGTGGCTTTTCCAAGTTTGGAACAAAAAAAGTCGCATCTGGCCAAATTTGGAGAATACGTTAGATGGGGCAACAAGTTAGTAGACCAATTTGATCGTGACGACGATGGAGGTGTGAGCCAGTGCGTTGTTATGGTGGAAGAGCACTTTTTTTCTTCGCCAAATGTTTTATCGACAAATAGGATGTTTTATCTGCAATTCGGCGTCGACTCAATAATTCGGGATAGTAAGAGCTCTTTGACCGTTTTGCCATTCTCCAGGTAGTGAATGTTGGTGAAGTCCATTGTTTCGACGTTCTTACATATTCTTACCCTATGTTCTAAAAGTTTTGGCACACAATATTTATGGAGTTTTTTTTAATGATGAAATTTATTTAAACACTACTCGATCATAAAATTTAACTCAATACTTAAATAAACTATACTATCGAATTATGTGGAGTGTCCCATTCAGGCTCTCATGAGGTCCTGAACGGAATTTAGATCAATGTCTCTCAGTTTTTCGTAAATTCGCTGCCTTAGTTATTGTTCTTTATCTTGGACTTCCCTGCTCCCATGCTATACCTTCCTAGGCATTCAAGCCTAAAAATTCTCTATTGGACGAGCCTGCGGCAAGTTTGGAGGAATATCGTTTTTGGAAACAAGAGATGTGTTGTGTTGTCAAAGCAAGTTTTGGTTATCTCCGGAGTAACGTCAAGATGCTAGGCCTGGTCAAAACATGATATCGTCATTAACATGATATTCGTGGACAAACTGAAGTAATTTGGAAAGACAGTTATCAATATAACTCTAACTATTCAAAGCTTCACCCATCACTCCCCCCACAAAAAGTCGGGATGCAGCCCTATTAGAAATTGCACTCCATACAAATACAAGGATTTTATTTGCCAATTTCACTTTAAGTTTGTATCTAACATTGTCAGGGCATTCTTTTAAGTTGCTCGTATAAAATTCATTATTTAACTTCATTTCAGATTTACTCCAAGTAAAATACTTTTCGTCTTCTAAAATAATAATTTTTTAATTATTTTGGTATACGAAGGAGTTGATCTTGAGAGCCTTGACGGATTACCCAAAGACAAGCTTAGTATTGGATCATTGGTCTAGCAGCTCTATGGTATCGACATTCTTTTTTTTTGCAAAGAATTGTAAACTCGTTTTTTTTATTTTTCCCTTGTTTTTAACCTTTTTCCAATTGATTTTCTTGAAAATTAGGTAGTGAAATAATAGTCTACAATATCGACTTTGTGTGAAATTTATCCATATTGGTTTTTTTTTATTTTTACAAGGAAAGAAACCGTTCGAGATATCTAAAACCCAAATTACAATACAAAACAAATATTAGTAGGAACTTACTAAAAGAGGTAACACCATAATATATTTCCCAATAATGGGTATTTGAAAATATAAAAGATTTGTGATTTTTGAAGTGGAAGCCAAATAAAAAATTTATTATTTGTAGTCAATTCGCAAAAAAAAATACAAAAAATGTATTCCTAAGTACTCTTAAATACTGCCACTGCTTATATATTTAAATCATTTTACGATAGCTAAATGTTTTATTAAAATATTATTAAATCAAAAACTGCCCATGAAAGTCTTTTCTTTTTTAATCAGTTTTTTTTTCAATAGGTTATATCTCTATTATTTGTTTCAAGGCGCAGAATGGAATTTGTCCACATTGTATAGTTACTCTACCAAACAGTAATGGTATGCAACTTTTACTGTGTTATGACAATGAGGGTGTGTATGTTAACACGTACGGTAGGATAGCTAAAAATATGTTGCTCCAGGTAAGTACGTTTTTCTTTATTTTATTCAGTTTAAGCCCTAAGTATCATAGTTTTCATTTCCATTTTTTTGAGGTTATAGAGATTTGTCTAAAGTTATTATACAATTAAGAGTTCATGTAGGTACATATCCGAAATCACTAAAATAATTTCAGATTTAAGACGGTTAAAAGAAAAGTGGTGTAAGTTATCTGAGTATCATTTTGAGATAAAAAATTAAATCTATATATAAATTATATATAAATTTATATTTAACTCTACTAACATTTTTGTACAAATAAAACTATGCAGTTTTTAGGGGTGAAATGATTTACACCCCTTTTCCTTTAAGAGTTTAAAGAGAATATACAGAAATCAAAACATGTTTATTGTTTTTACATTAGAAAATCAAAAATAAATTCACTAGTTTAGTAGTCATTATTTTCTTCTACATCAGGAAGTGGTCCAGCTTCGTCATTGACTTCATCAGATGATATAAGATTTCTAAAATACGAATGGTGGACTGGGGGAATGTATGGTAGTAAATCACACATATCCCGTTTTTTTGCTGGCATTACTGGTCAAGGTGCTGGGTACAGGCAATCCAGTTGAAGATTTTTTAACAATGTTGGTCTTCCCTTCGGCTTTCTTCGAAGGATATTAATTTGTGAAAAGGAAAAATCTTCATTTAGTGTTTCTTTGTAGAACAGTGAAAATGGCTCATCGTGTTTGACTCGAATCCATTGCATTTTTAACCATGCCACTGATTGGTTATCCATATTGGATTTTCTTTTTGTAATTAATTTAGTGAGTTGTGTCAGATCTTTAAATTTTTCTAAGTTTGTTTGTGAAAATGAAAGCTTTTTTATTTCTACACCGAACTATGACTGAAAACCAATCTTCAGGCACATAAATCTGTTTATCTTTAGAGTGAGTTTCAATTGAACCAAAGTTTGAGTCGTTTAGTAAGTAGTGTCCGCTTACCATAAACTTGTGATCAACTATTTTGATACTATTACTTTGAACTAACTGTAATAAGGCCAAAGCAAAATTCCAGTTTCTATTTTGACCAGTGAAGCTGTCACTGTACATGTTTTGAATTTGCTGCACGTAATTTGTGATACAGGCACTGATTTTCTGACATCCTCTCGAAGCTGTTATTTCATCCCATCCATACATGTAGCCTAAGCCAGATGATAGCTCATGACAGCCCAAGTTGTAAATGTACATATTACGTTTATAGTATGCGATAGATGTGGTTAGTTTTTGGAAAGCTAGGGCTTTCTCTAGGTCAAAAATGGATGCATAGTAAGAATCGTCAGCCTGGGCCTTTTCTGTATCATTTTACATAGAAGTACGTGCAAGCTCGACCTTTCTAGGATGAAATTCGGGCTCTACTTCAATCTGTCTTATCTCATTATCATATGTTATTGCAGCTTTTTTTAATTTGTAAGCATCACACTTAGAGCATGTATCTTTTTGTTGTACATGTAAATGAAGGTTGTACTCATTATTGAATGTACGGCGATAAATATCACAGGAAACGAGGACAGTGCTTTGTTCCTGATAGGAACACTGTACAAGCGATACAGTAGGGTAATGTTAAGGTCAGAAGATAGATACCTACGATTGGGATTCTTATTCCTTGTATAGTGCGATTGGTAAGATAAAAAAATGTTCAGTATGTTTCCGGACACAGGTCATACCTTCTTCAGATATTTTATTGATCATGGCCTCTATTATCTGAACCAGGTGGTTCTCCTTGTTTTATCTTATTACTGGCCCGTGTCATTCGTCCATCAGATATCTGAAAGGTTCCAAGAAAGTATTTTTTACATACTTTCGTGGTTTATGAATAAAATATTGGTTAGACACTGTCTTACCAGGTCGTGATTGATCCCTGGGACGTTTTACTTCAGGTTTCTTTTGCTTGATCAAAGGGCTTTTTTTTTTAAATTTGTTTTACATCATAATTTCACTATTAGTGAGTTCTCAAAAGTGAGCTTAACTTTTCATTAAACAGTACATTAAAAAAATTCAAGAAATTCAGTATTTTTCCTCGTTTTTTCTCATACATCTCAGCTACTATTGGTTTTAGAACAATGTTTTCCCATAGGAGTAAAGGTTTTATTAAATTTTACATAAAATAAATGTGATTGCAAATCTTAAGAATTGTTATTATTAACGAAAAAATAATAAAAATCACAATAGATAAAAAAGCTTTTTTGTGATTTTATTACTAATACTTTTATTATACGTAGGCCCTTCATACTTCACGAAAGAAATTTAAGTACGTTCGTGATATTACGCTCATGTTCACGTCCGGTCCCGTGCATGCCCTAAAAAGCTACGTCACGTCGTGACCAGTCGTGAATCTTTGAATCCGTTCGTGATTCTCACTACTCGTTTCAAACACAGTCTTAACACATAGAGTGCCACCATGAGAATGTTGTTTGACGGTCTATTAGGGCCAAACTTTTTTTTTTTGCAGGAATTCAATAAAAATGTTTATAAATGTGACATAAAATTATTAGTTTCTTCTTAAACCATTTAGTTTTTGAAAAAAAAAAATGCAAAAAAAATGGTGGACAACATCAACCCATCGCGGCCATAATGACTCAGTCCGCCGCTGTGGCCGCGGTGGACATGCGCGGCTGACATCACCTGATCGGCAACTCGTTTCATTCTCGTTCAGTTCTGTTGGTATTTCCGTTATTGTATGTATTAGTGTCGGCCATCGCGTCGTGTTTTTATGATTGCAATTGAGTATTTATGTGGTGAACGAAAATAATGCCGTATGAAAAAGAACAGAAAGAACTACAAAAACTGTGGAATGAAATACTTTCTGAAGAGTCTGATTTTTCACCTGACGTGTCTGAATATCAACCAAGTGACTCAGATTCAGCTAGTTCTGATGATCCAATATCTCCAAAGAAACGTCAAAGGTTATTGGATTCACGTTTTAAAACACAAGATATGAGTTTGAAATCAATAAGTTCTCAACAACCGATAGCAGAAGAGTTTCGTTTAAGAGAAATTGAACAGACGTCAAATGTAGCAGAAGCGGATCTGTCAGAACAGTATTTTTTTCCAGGTAATGTACCACAGATTTCAAACCTAAATGCCAATACATGTGATATTGAAAAGTCTATCGAGGATGTTATTGAGCAAAATACAGTCTTTCTCGAATCTGACAACGATAATACTACGAATAATGTAGAAATGTTACAATCAACCGAGTGGGGACCTGTTACCGGAAATAATCTGAAAAACTTTGTATTTTCAGAGGAAAATCCAGGGATCCGTAGTTCTATATATGATAAATATAATATGACTCCATACGACTTTTATAAACTTGTGATTACTGATGACATAATTGAACTATTTACAAACGAAACTAATCGATATGCTGCGCAGCAAAAGATTCAAGGTAAACGTAGATCACGCATACAATCATGGAAAGATACAACACCAGAAGAAATGGAAAAGTTTTTGGGGCTAATAATGTGGATAGGTCTTCCTCTTCCCACAATTTCTTCGTACTGGTCCAAAAAATTCATATATAAAAATGAACTTTGTCAGCTAATGTCAAGAAATCGTTTTCAATTACTTCTAAAGAACTGGCACTTCGCTGACAACGAAGCTGTTAAGGAAAGCAAGGACAGATTGTATAAGATTAGTTCTCTTTTGTCAAAGCTCAAAAGAAATTTTCAAACGCCTATTGTACCATCAGAATTTTTATGTATTGATGAAACTTTGGTACCATTTAAAGGGCGATTAAAATTTAAACAATACATTAACAATAAGCGCCACAAATTTGGTATTAAATTATTTAAATTATGTTTAGAAGGTGGCTATTTGTATGACTTAAAGGTATACTGCGGACAAGAAAACAATAGTGCTGAGAATTATACTATCCCAACAAAAGTAGTGACAGATTTGACAAAGGATTTACTTGGAAAGGGGCGAACAGTTTGTGTAGATTACTACACCTCTGTAGAGTTGGCTCTTAAATTGCTAAAACATAAAATATACGTATTGGGTACCCTACGTACTAACAGGAAAAATAATCCGAAAAATGTCATAAACAAAAAACTCAAAAAAAGGCGAAGTTGTTTCTGAAGAAAGCAATAATGGTATATTTGTTGAAAAGTGGAAAGACAAACGGGACGTCGTGATGTTGACAACGAAGTATTTACCAGAAATGGTTACTGTGCATAAAAAATCAGGAGATATGCAGAAGCCTAAATCCATTATTGAGTATAATAAGCACAAAAGTTATATTGACATTTCAGGTAATCCAAATTTTTAGTAATTTTTATTTCTCTCAATAACTATATAATTTTAGATCAGATGAAATCGTGTAACACATCTCTCAGACGCGGGGTCAAATGGTATCGTAAACTTGCGATCGAGTTAGTAGTTGGTGCAGCAATTGTCAATGCCTACTACAAAGAACTAATACAATGTAGATACAAAAGGTTTTTGTATTCTCAAATCTTAAATATTTTAAATTTTCAGGTCTAATCAAAAGAAATGACTTACCTACCTCTGTATTTGTTTCTAATAATCAAGATCATAAATTATATGAATCGGATAAGAGACAGATTTGTTCTAATTGCTACCACAAAAATGTCACGGAAATGGGAAGGAAGCTTGCAAAAAATAAAACGAATAAAACAAAATTCCGTTGCGATATATGTAACAAGCACTTGTGTCTTAATTGCTTTTTTGAAATGCATTCTTCACAGTTAAAACAATAGAAAGTTGATATTTTTTTTATTTAATATTTGTTCAAGTTTGTGCGTTCACTAAATATTCCTAAGTAATTAACAATTGTGTAATGTAATTTAGTAAAAATAAAACTAAAAAAAGTTAACGTATTTTTACTGTGGCCATAGTGGACAACTTAGTCCACCGGCATAAAAACCAATCATAGTAAAATATTGCTAAAACCATCCTTTAACACTCCCCATATATTCAGAATGGATCTGGTGGACTAACGCGATGCACCGCGGCCTGTAACGTAAAAAGGCGTGGTAGACAATATCGACCCACCACGGCCCCTAGACAAAAAAAATTTCAACCCAAGTGGTGGACAATGTTGACCCACCATGGCACTCTATGTGTTAAGATGAATAATTTCTCGTTACTATATTAATTTCTCACGTTTAAAATACTATTCGATTATAAATTGTAATACATTTTTTTCTTGTTTTAGTGGGGCGAAATGCCAACTTCCGTGGCCTACATTGGCACAGGCCAAATCATGGGTTGGGGCAACAAAGCCATAGAAATCCGCTCAGTCGAATCAGGACACTTAGACGGTGTGTTTATGCATAAAAAATCGCAGAGGTTAAAGTTTTTGTGCGAGCGAAACGATAAGGTGTTCTTTTCTAGTGCAAAGAGCGGTTCCTCGTGTCAAATTTATTTCATGACACTCAACAAACCGGGAATGGCGAACTGGTAACAATTTGGTTGAAGGTTACCATTCGGTTAAGCACCAAGAAAGCTTAAGCTGACTATACTTCCAGATGCGTTGTTTTATTAAAATTGCTTCAATATATCCTATTAATAATTACTTTCCTCAGTATTTTACCTAAATCCACAGAGTGGTTCAAAACAGTGCTAATTTACGAAAATGTGGAATTGTGAAGAAGATTTTTAGGAATATTAGGTAATGTTTTTAATTGTTTAAATCCTTATATGTTAGAATTTATACATTTTACCTATCCTTATATATTAGAAATTAGAAGAGAATTGGAACAAGAAATCCCATTAACTTTTATATTATGAATGAAAAAAATAAATAAGGAAATGGATGTTGAATCTACAATACATCAGTGCTAAGCGTTTGCCACTGGCATAACGTACCAACATGTAGATAATACTTTTTAATAGTGCTAGAAAATAAGCAGAATAAATTTAGGGGAAAGCCGAAGAAAAATACACAACAAAAAATAGGTTTTCATATAAGTACTATTTAGAAATTATTATAATGAAGATCCTGTATAATACCATTTTTCACATCTAACATTTTCGTAAACGATTGGACTGAGCCGTACTCTGTGTTTTATGTGTTGTGTCCTATTTTGAATACTAGTCAAGAAAAAATACTTTCTCGTTGAAAACAATCAATTTTCATTCCGTTTTTGATAGAATAGCGCATCTAGGTTACCAGCTTGCACTTGTTAAGAGGATACATAAGTATGTATGTGTGATCGCTGGAAAATAGTGATTGAATCTAGTACTGTAAATGATTATGTCTAGGCAAGTGATGTGAAATGTGAAAGAAGTCTTTTTGATATATAGACGGACGATGTTTTTATTTTGTTGCTTAGTTAGGTAGAATAGCAAAATTGTGAACTGTAAAAATATCAAAGATTCTGGTTGGAAATACTGGTTCCGGTACTGGGAAAAACTGGTTAAAAAATTAAAGTAATTATCTTTTATGCAATATACAATTTCTGTTTTTGTATCATATGTTATTTCTCTCCGCAAATAATCTCTTTAAAAGTTTTTAACCATGGACTCACTCCTATTATAAGACCAACATGGTAAAGTATGAGAAAGACTTTGTATTTTCAAACAGAATTTTAACGTGGTAACAAATTCCTTGCAGTGTCAAACTAACGTTCCTTTTTCCGCAAAAAGTGCAAGATTCAGTCAAAAATTACACAAACCAAAAACTTCAAAAACTAGAACTGGTTAAATAAAAATTACAACACTTTTGTGAAATCATTTATTTGTGACTAATTAATTAATTTCGATGAAAAAGGTCATGTACTGGTTGTAAAAATGTTCTCCTTTATTTGTTTGTCCTATTGACACCAAAAATTAATTTGACAGATAAATTACATCCGATGAGGTGCAACCTTTGGATTGCTCCATGGACAATACCCTATACTTTTATAAAAACAAAATGTTGCCGCATGGATTACTCCACCATGACCACTCCACATGTACCACTTGATCCACCCATGAAATTCTTAAAATACACCTTGAACACCACATCGCGAAGGCTTCGACTTTTTATGGAAGCTTCAGAAAATAACATATTTATGAATGCTAATCTTGCCTTCCCTATACGTTGGTTTATTTCAATGGAGAGGTCCCATTGACTGTTTATGTTGGTACCAAGGTATTGACACTGTCGATTAACTATCGATGAATGCAATATATCTGTTTCCGCTACTTTCATTTTCTCTGCAGTTTTAATTCTTGTATATTGAAAACTTTTGCTTTTTACACTGTGTTCCCAACTTATCCATAGAAAATAATCCAATGTGTTCATTTCAGGTGATTGTAAGAGGCCATTCCATAAAACAACTGGTTCTCCAATTAATCTCTTTTCGATACGTTATTTACAATATTTTCTCATTTCATCAGCATAGTGATGGACTACATCCTTTTCCAACATAACATTATCCTTGTAGGTATTGTTATTGTCTAAAAGTTGTACAGCATGAAATATCTAAATTAAAAGAGATGAAAATTCGTTACTTGGATTGGAAATTATCCGAGCCAGCTCAAGAATTATACTGTTTACAGTGAGTAGCCAAAATATTAGGGACAGTAAGATGATTCTTAATTTTCTAGTTAAACTGAATTTTTCTGGCAAGTTGTTGGCTTTAAGGCTTGCATCTATTTTTCTAAAAAAAGTCTTCAACGGTCATACTTCGTTGCAGCTTGGCCTATTGGAGTCTCTTTCTCTTCATGGCTTCGGTAAACCGTGGTTTTTTTATAGGCCGGAGAGCTACCACCACATTCTCGTCGGCTAGTCTTCGTCGGACTGTTCTTCTGGAAACCTTAATTCCTTCGAACTTTATCATCGTAGTCAGATGTGCCACACTCTTTTTACGTTTTTTGAGACAAATGTCCCTGCTTTTACGGTCAGTACGAGGAGTGGTGATCCTTTTCCTGCCTCATTTTCCAACACTGCCCGGTTCCAATGCCTTGATTGAATCAATTTTTATTTTAATTCGATTTAGTACAGACTTTGAAACACCTGCAGTAGTTGCTATTACTCTTTGGGAAAGTGTAGAGTGCACTAACATCGTTTTTATTTCTCAATTTTCCCTGGAGACAAGTCTGCAATTTTTCCCACACTAAAAAAATAATTTTGATTTTGAACAGCGTTTTTAAATAAAATCGTGTCATTAAAGGTAGAAAAAATGACTAAATAACAAATATTTCTTACCTGTTAAATATATCTGACACGAAAACCTAGCAGAAAAACTTTAAAAAAAGTTTAAAACAACTTGTAACTGTTTTTAAGCCTCACTGCGATAACAGCCGATGACCTACTGAGATGCAACAACAATTATTATTTCATACATAAGCAGTCTGCCAGTGTTGCCGCTTATCAAAAATTTTCATAATCATACCAGAAGAACTGCCAAATATAATACAGATATGAACACCAATTTTTTTGGTCGTGGCCCTAATAATTTGGACATCCACTGTATGTCGTAGGCCTGTTTTCTAACGACATGGCTCAGTCAGACAACATAGTTGTAGTCCCTGAACTATTTGCTACTTTTACACAGTAAAATTTGACCTGTTCATAAAAATCTGGACAAAATAATATATCTTATGTAAACTTTGATAATGGAAGAAACGTAATAACTTGAATTTATAACAGTTGTTGTATTTTTTATTTATCCCGCTTCTGCTATTTAAAATGGTGCTATCTTCTAATATTTCCAATGTAAATAAACGACAACTAACAAAAAATTGACACTGCACAGATTAGGTAAAAGATATAGTCCCGTTTTGGCTGAACTTCGAAGAGAAGATGCATTCAAAGCTTAAATACAGTTGGGTGCCAACAATTATGTTAGTCAAGTTAAACAACAAAACATTAAATGCTCACGGAGATGTAGATAAGTCAAAAATTAGTGTAATTGTTAGTTAACTTTTGTAAGTAGTTTGTTAAAAATACAAAATGCATTTTAGAAGACTGGATAAATTAGTATTATATTTACTGAGAATGCTACACGTTCATTTATATATAAATTAACACTTTGATTTACACTAACAAATAATTTTGGAGGTACTGACAACTGAAGTGTTAAAAAAAATGTACCAGTAAAGTTATGTCTTTTTATATGCTGAAAGGTGAGTAAATGTGTTGATTTTATTTATCCCTTTTAACACTTCTTTACATTTTTCATTAAAAATAAGTCTTCAGTTTATATTATATGCAATATAAATTAGGAATGATTTTTAAGTGCAAAAGGCTGCAATGTGCGAATAATTATATTAGATTTGAGATCGTCAACATACAATATACATCTTGTAAGATTTTTCACATAATAGAAAAACATTAATTAAGACAATAGTGACGTTTTTACGTTACCATTTTTAGTTAATTGCTTTTATAAACCAAAATATAAAGGAGAAGAAAGCAAATATTTTGCTTTCATAATTGATAACCTCAGTCAGTCCGTCCATCCTTCCTATTGTTAGTTAGCATTGTATAATTTATTATCACTTTTTTGATAAATTACACAGGCCAAAAATATTTAGTTGAAAACTTTTTTAACTGGATTAACTGATTTTTATGTGCTGAAACCAAATATGGTCGTAGTTTTTTTTTGTATCTCACATAGTTTTTGAGCAACCTGCTTTTTGTTACATAGTTTTAAATCCCTATACAATATATAGTAAAATTAATGAAACTCTATGTTACATCAAATCATGGTTGTTATTTACAGTAGATTGCTTAAAGTCATGTTACAGTTTACTAATGTAAGTTTCATTAGTCAGATGGAATTGGTTTATACTTCTTTTCTCTTTTTTTAAAGCTGCCTGTGTAGCTTTTTCTTCGATGAGTCACTTGCAGAGCTTCTCGCTGAAGTAACCAACTGTAGTCATCCATGATATTGGTGTTCCAGCGGCCGTGGTAGCTTTTCCCATTAATTTAATATCCTGGTGAAAACTTGGAATAATACCTATGCTTCTTTCTTATTTATATGGTTATTGTGTTTCAAAGTTAACGACGAACATCATTTTTCGAAAGCCGAGTTACTACAGTTTTGACAGAGATACTTGAAACATGGTTCATCTTTAGGCAATTCCTTTACAAACTGTTTCATGAGGCCTCACTTTATATGTAGAGGTGTTATGAGGATGTTAGATGTAAAGGAGGATGTAAAGACTCCCTCGCAGACAGGCCAGTTATTGCTGGACCAATGTCAATCCCTAGCTCTACTGTCCCATTCACACAAGAAACATGAAAATTTGGTAAAACCGCTTTGATGATTAAGCTGTTCTAGGTTTTCATAGCTCTCTTTTATATGTACAGAATGGCCAACAGGTATAGATGCGTAAGTGTGCCATTGTGTAATAAAACGTTTTTAAACTAGCTTTGGATAAATCAATAAACAGCCTACAGTCTTCTTTTGTCTATTCAACATCGACCACATTCATCAGACCTGGAATGTCTGAGCAGAACACTAAATCACCTTGTTCAAAAAATGTTGAAAACTGCTACTCTCTCTTCCTATACAGATGTATGCTAGTTAAACTATCAACAAATTCTTTTCTTTTAGTTTAGAACCCAGCAATTCATCTTCTTCTTTTGTTAACGAGGTGGCTCTTATTTTCTGTAGTATATTGGAACTCTTCATCATCTTGCTCATGTAGCTCTGACTGTACATCAGAAAATACTTCATTTTAAACAGAATTCAAATTATTTGGAGGTTCTAGGACCGGCAAATCTACATCGTACCCTACCACTCAGATGCGATCATTAGGTTAGGTTAGCGTATCACCTTCTTGTTTTTAGAGTTATGGGAGTAATGTCAATATTGTAAAAGTAGCAATCATCTGGTTTCTAGGCTCCCTTCTAACGATAGGAACAGCAAACTAAAAGGCTTTTTACCCTTTTTTGTATATTTTCTAAGATCTTCAACACAAACGTAACATACTTTATGCGTGGCCCAAGAAGTTGTTTCAAAATATGAGAAATAAACCTTTTTCACAAAGTCTGTGATACACAAACTTTTCTTCTTCTTTATGTGCCGTCTTCTACCGAAGGTTGGCGACCATCATACGATAGGTTTCTCTGTTTTGTGCCGCATGAATTATGTTCGCAGCTTCTGGTATTTGAAACCATTCTCTCAAGTTTCTCAGCCAGGATTTCTTCTTTCTGCCCACACCTCTTCTACCTTCAATCTTGCCTTCCACGATAAGCTGTAGCAGACTTTACTTATCATTACGGAACACATGGCCCAGGTATGACGCTTTCCTCCTTTTAACAGTTGTTAACAATTCCACCTCTTTACCCATTCGTCTTAATACCTCTGTGTTGGTCACTCTGTCTGTCCAAGGTATTCTCAGTATGCGTCGATACAGCCACATTTCTAGAGCCGCTAACGTCTTTATAGTTGCTGCTGTTAACGTCCACCCTTCTACGCCGTAAAGTAGCGTAGAGAGTACGTAGCATTTCGTGGCGCGCCATCGGAGGTTAAT